AATATCTCAGCATCGTTGTGGTTGTATTTTGCGCAATACCCTGCCGTAAAAATTGCAATAGGCAAAAAATAAAAAAAAAATAAAGCATTATGATTTTATGTTCGCCTTCAACCAACATGAACAGTCCAGGATTAAGTGTTAATGAAATGATGTGATGTTAACCTCTCCTTTTCTATAATTCAAAAGCGCATATAAATTAAAATCTCGTCACCTCATTTAAACAAATCCTTCGTTGATAGTCACTCAAGAAGTTGTCTATTAATATGGATATTTTCCCATCTTTTACAGAAATTCAGAACGCCTTTTATTTTTCGACGAAGCCCTTCATCGAAAGTAAGAAAAAGCATAAACTTTGAGTAACCGACTACAAAAACATAATGGTTCACTATCGACAGCACCAGAATGCTGCTCAATATTTTTGCAGTAGAATTTGGCTAGCAAAGTATATGGAGGTTTCTTGTTTGTCTCTGAGAGCCACTGAGCAGGAACGCTGGCAAAGAGTTGCATAAGATCCAGTCAAGCATCAAGCTCTACCTAAACTCACGAAATCATCCAAATAAAAGGTAAAATAGAGTTTTTAATGTGTGAAATCGGCTATATTGTCCATGTAGACGTCGGGATAAGGTGCATGAAGTCCTAAAACATTTCACGAAAGCCGATGTGACCGTCCTCCGGGGCAAAAGTGCAGCTGTATTTAAAACGGCAATGAGAAAACTATTTGCGACATCTATTTCACTCTCTTCGACAGTCGCAAAAAGTTTTCCAGTTTCATTTTCATAAACAGAGTATATCTTCTCAACAGCTTTCTTTTCCAAATTTCGGTGCACTATTTCGCCGGCTATGCATAATCTCACATCCGTTCTATATAGGAACGGTTGGGAACATCTGAATTACTCACCACGAGTCATTGCCAACAGAAATGAACGGTGACGTGCTGCCCAGGCAAGAAATCATTAGTACGATTAAACTCCGAAGACTGGAGCAGATTTCTAAGAGCGACTATCAACATTTTCGAGAACAAAGTCTACCGTTTATTTATATGTTCTCATAAGTTGATCATTTCGCGCCGGTAAGAGGTGAGGTTGGTATGGGTCTTCGTTGCCACTGTTTGTTGTTAGTTTTGTAGTTTCTACTGGTGTTGTTGGTCGAAAAGCCGTGTTGTTACGAGTAGGACTACGAGTGGAAGTTTTGAATTGTTAAAACTCTATTATATTTCGCAGTAAATTCTGTTAGAATCTTCAGCCATACCACACCAGTTCAGTTGAGAGCCATGCATGTCAAATTCAACCACAATGATGTTGAAATATTTGCAAATCTTGGACCTCAGGTCAGCTTCGAACTTGAGATTATCCTTCACGGCAGCTCATGTGTTGCCCAGTGCACCACAGAGGTCCTTGCTTTTCCTTTCTCGCAACCAGTTTTTTATTCTAATCGTCAAACAATCAATCATTATTGACTGGGAAATTGACTGAGTCATTAAAATGACAAAACAGTAAAGCTTTCGGCTTTGACCAATCCCTGAAAAAAGCACCATACATTCCACTTCATCAAGCAACGTTGGAGGTCACTGAATGCATATCTGGTCTTTACAATGACTCGCAGTGTTCCTTCGATGTAACGAGCCAGTGTTGTTATCCTCTCAGACAAGACTGGCACCAATTTGCTGAACCTCAAAGGATGGAAGACTTGGTGGGCCGTGGGCACGGGAACCGATCCCACGTGTGTGTTGCAGAGCGCCTCTGACCACTGCGCCACGCGCGCCCTAATTGAGTCATTGTTGCTTATTATTTTTTACAAATTACTAATAACGCCTTTAGAAATTAACTGGATTTATACCAGCTTGTGTTTCGTTAATGATTCGTGTTGACGGATGATTGCCAAAAGCACTATTAGGGTAAACAAGTGGCTGGGAAACGGTACGGTAAAGCAACGGCGTCGCTGGTGGAATGGGTAACTCGTGAGCCTACGGGAAAAGTTGTCACAAATTCGAAGCTGTATAGGGGTTCTGCGTTTTGCAAATATCTCAGCATCGTAGTGGTTATATTTCCTATAAAAAAATACTCTGTCGTGAAAAATTAACAAACAGTTAATAAAAAGTTAAACTCATTGTTAGTTCGAGAAACGCGGGTATGTAGAAGTTGAATCATCTCACCTAGACTCTTTAGCGTAGATAGGTGTTTGCTTACAGAAAACGTAATTATAAACACGAAGAGCTGCAAAAGCACTGTTCCGATGTTGGGGCATTTTGTGCACCAACCGCATTACGATGCCCTCAGTAATATAACTAGCATACACAGCATCAAACAGGGCTAAGCCGTTCAATAGTATAATATAAACCAGTGGACATTTTTTAGAGCACGAGTCACAGCGTCTGCATCCGATACTGTCGACTTTTCAAATGAGAGCCTTTCATTCTGTTCTACTCGTAGGGTAAGTATCCTCATTGCTTCAGATTTTTACAAGCATTAACAATAATAGCATAAACGGAATCCTCTATAAAATGGATTCTACTGAGGGAGTGAGTTGCACTTTGAGCAGGATTTATCGGCGAAATTTAGAACAGGTGAGGAGCTGGATATGGGACAACGACGTCGACTTTGAAGCCGAGGACGTAGATTTGGTTGAAAACTGATTGCAGCTCTTTGTTGTTCAGGATTCACTGCGAGGCGGAAACCTATTTTGAACAAATTTACAAGGCTTTAAAGCATTCCTGGAGAACATATTATCTGCAGCATACGTTTTATTAACTACTGTTCCATCAGAGCTCTGATGGTGAAAAAAATCCCAATCACACGGAAAACTTTTGAACGTTATTAATTAAAACATAATCAATTGCTTAAATCCGACAAAGAATCTGTCCATAATAGCGCGCATGAAGTGAAGGTGATGAACGTGCAGCAAGAAAACAAGAAAAAAGCAGACAGCCGATCATAGCAAACTAACTGTTGTTCCGCTTTGTTCTAGCTAGCTGTTTTAAACGACATATATGTTTTAAGAAAACAGTATCAAAAATAGCAGCAAGAAACATGAACTTATCGTACTTTCTTACTTTGGTGAACGGTTGGCCAGTTCCCACTGGTGGCGCGGACCCCAGCATAATATCCATTTTTTTTGCACTTTTGCTGCTTTAGCCATTGTATTTCCCTGGAGTCCCAAGGTCAGCCTGGCCAAAGTCTGCCGCCCTAGATCGTTACCAACACAGGTGGACGTCGCCCTTGTGGATCAAAGGGAGATTTGCCAACATGCGTCTAGCTTAATATCAGGACGGAGGTGAATGCTGGTATTCGTACTCTTAGTTGAGCTTCCTTGGTATAAATGTCGAACTCGTTCTTATCTTGGAAGACCCTGCTGGGAGAACAAATCTCCTTGCTGTACAACATAGCCTGACACCCGGAACACCTGCAAGCCACGATGAAGCGGTAAACCATTTGGAGGAACTCATCGCACTAGAAGTGAAAAGAATGAACCTCCACCAAGAATTACATCAGCAGTGTTTTAATTGTAGGACGCTGTCCATGGTAGGCATATCAAAATAATAACACTAATAACTTTTGTCAGGAAGTTCGTTTTCTCCTCCTTTTTGACCTAGCTCCATTCCAGTCTTTGTTAATGTTGCTGTTGTTGCCGTTGCTGTTCTTGATCACTACTACTATTTTAACCTTTTTATTTACTGCGTATTCTTTCTAACGGCAGGGTATTTTGCGAAATATAACTACTACAATGCTGAGAATTTGCAAAAGTCCGGACCACACGGGTCTACCTACGGTGGAGAACGAACACTCTATTATCCTTTCTGAGAGTAACGCATTCACCACCACACTATGTGGGTCCTTCGTTTCGCCCGTTTCGTCTGTTTCCCTTTTCGCTTTCCCCGTCTTCGTTCCCCACCGCAGACACTTGTGGTCCCGAGTTTTGCAAATATCTCAGCATTGTAGCACTATTACTATTGCTTGCTACTATTACTAATAATACACCTATTCTTCAATGTTTGCCTTGTTTGCATAGCGTTTACTTTTAATACATAGCTGAAATATCTCCTGCGTATTCGATTATCGCTTCCGAATAATCCGCGGAATTCGGAATAACAGGGATAATCCGCAGTCGCTTTTTGACAGATAATGCAAAATTTTTAAATATGACGCTGTTTCCCATCTGTAAATATGCTCACGTCAATCTATTAATGTACCTATTCACATGTTTAAAAAGGGCTTGTGTGGCGTAATCGTCAGAGGCGTCCTGCAACACACATGTAGAATCGATTCCCACGCCCATGGGACGCCAAACCTCCCATCCCTCCGTGTTGAGCAGGTTAGTATCAGACTTAGCTGGGAAATAGCAGCACTGGCTCGATACATCGGTTGGCCACCGCAAGTCATTGTAAAGGCCAGATATGCATTCAATCACCTCCAACGATACTTAATGAAGTCGAATGCACGACGCATCCTTCAGGAATATATGAACGCCGAAAGCTTTTTATTTATTCTTATTCATATGATTATCTGTGACAAAAAGTACTTCTCAGTATTTAATTCAGTTACGGGCAAAAATGAAGGTGTTTCTTAGATGGCGACAATTACATACGTAAGACGGATAGGAAGTAAGGACGAAATCACCTTATGCTGATGTCGTTGTTGTGACCTCCATTCCGAGGTCAGGTATCGAGATTCACTTTTCAATCTCCGATCCGAAAACTTGCGCGGTTCTCGTCACCCGCTATTAATGTGACCCACCAGCCCGACAACAGCAATCCAATCAAACTCTCCCAAGTGACGATGATCGCTTTCACTACGATTTCATTAAGTGTTGTCGTTCTCCATCCTAAAACGACGTCATTATTGTCGTAGAGTTCAGTTCAATGGCGATATTTCTCGTTCGACTATTATTTGAAAACAGTTGTCAGCAGTTCCACGTCAAAATCTATTGGAATTTTTAACACTGGAAAGCTGTTTCGTCGACTTGAACTGTCCATTTCTCTTCAACTTTTAAAAAAATTTCCAGAGATGAGACCAAATGTGGAATATTTGTTGATGTTCTCTTTTCTACGTGTTTCGCTCGCTTCCTATTGTGGACAAGCAACGATTCCGTTCACGTTTCAGGTGCTTTGATAGAATATAATGCAGAGCTAGTAGCTAGGAATCTCGAACAATTCATATTTGCCGTTCGAATTTATTTTCATTATGTCCCACTCAGGTTCTCCATAGTGGTTTAACAGTTCTCGGATGTGCTCAACCACAATGTTTCGGGTGGAATGCCAACGGAACACGAGCAATCCAAAATGCGCAGTTCTACAGGCAAGCCTCTTTGTTCTTCATCTTCAAGAAACAATGAATGTGATACTCATAAACCATCACCAAACTGAAGTACCACATCTACCAACATAGTCGTGATTGAGCTGGGAAATTTGTCGCCAACTATTGGTTATATTTTTCCAATAATGTATTTTGTTCTAAATTTGGCATAACTTTTTTCCTATATTGCGCAGGTACAGTTTACTTATACATCTTTTGCATCATAAAAGAACAAAGGATAAAGCTCTCAAAGTCTATCAATCCCTGAGGGGTGCGCCATCATTCGACATCACCTAGCATCGCTGGAGGTGATTGAACGCATTTGTAGCCTATACAATGACTCGCGGAAGCTAACCGATGTATTCAGCCAGTGCTTACACCCTCTCAGAGAAATCTGGCACCAATTTGCCTACCCCGAAGAGATGGAAGGCATGGTGAGTCTTGAACATGGGGATCGATCCCATGTGTATTGCAGGGCGCCTCCGACCACTGTTCTACGTCCGTCCTTTTGTATCCCACAGATATGAAAATTTTTTGCCACAGATGTTGCATTAGGAAGGTCGTTCAAAGAAAGCACTTTCAACACCTCAAAATTCCCAAAAAAAAACAGCAGTTTTTAAACGAGTTTCTTTGTCTATGCGAAATTTAACTATTTGTTGCTTGTCCTACTTGATACTTGGACGGCCCATCATCAATAACTGGGCGGGCTCCAGCATAATCACCATTTTTCGGAGATTTGCTTGTTAAGCTATTGTGGTTCCGCGGAATCCCGAGGACAGTCTGGACAAAGTCTGTCCCAGGTCGTCACCGCGACAGGCAGTTGTAACACTTGTGGATCAGAGGAAGATTTGCCACCATGCAACTGTGTTACCAAGGCAGCGGTGGATCCTGGTATTGGTTTACTCTTAGCTAGGCTTCCTGATGGAAGCGCCGGACTCCTTCTCAGCTTGGGAGACCTTGCCGGGGAACCGGGGACGAATCCCCTCGCTGAACATCGCAGTCCGACACTCAGGAATACCTCTCAGCTAGGCGGTAAAACGGGAGGTGCTTGCTCTACATACTCTAAATAGAACACTATCGGTAATGGACAGGATACGTTTCTGCATAGTGCTAACACTTTGAGCATTATGCACTGAACTCGATGCATATAACATTTAACCGAAAAAAATGCAAAAATTCGAAACTGTTGTACAAAATACCAGCAGTCCTTAATGTCCTCAATGTAATTTCACTTTGTTGCATAATATGGTTTATATCCCACGCCGCTTTTCTTCCAACGATCCAGAAATTCATCTTCACCCTTGTAAAGTGATCTTAAGCAAACCTTATTAACGAAAATATCAAAAATTTCCGTGAAAATAGTTACTGCTCAAAGTCGTTGTGTTATCACTATATTGCATCAGAGGGACGAGTGCGGCGCAGTAGTCGGAGGAGCCTTGCAATACACACGTGGAGTCGATCCCCGTGCCCATGGCCCACCAAGCCTTTCACCCCTTCGAGATCGGCAAATTGGTACCAGACTTGTCTGGAAGGATAGCAGCGCTGACTCGATACATCAACAGACCACCGTGAGTCATTCATTGTAAAGGCCATATATGCATTCAATCACCTCCAAACGATGCTTAATGAAGTCAAAAGCATGGCGCATCCCTCAGGGATTGATCAACGCAAAGAGCGTTATCCTTTTTTATACTGAATTAGATGTTCAAATACTTCTTGCTTAGCTTTTTCGTCAAAAATAATTTCAGAAAAACTGTATTTTTTCATTATTTCAATGCCTTCCGCGTTATCAAGTTATGGAATGTTCTTGGGATCCAAACAATTATGTCAAGCAGCGTTTTCATCTTCGATAAGCCGAATCCTCAATCTAAAAACGGTTTCGGTTCTGCTCGGGTTTTAAGCACACTTCCATGTGAAAATCAGAGAGGAGAGAACCTCTACCAAACATTGCTGCCTAAAGCAGTGAGGCTTGTTTCGATTCACAAGTGTCGCTGACTGCATATAATGAAGACCTGGAAACTTCCTTGTACAACTGTTTCGGCACAACATCGACAAGTCAGCACAACAAGAAAAATAGTAATTAGATGGTAATCGTGCTGAGGTAACCGCAATTCCCGAAGGTGTGGCATCCATATATCCAATGGATGTTGCAGTTTCGTAGTATTTGGTAGTTGTGGAGTAACATGATTCACGTTTTCAGGATCGATGGAAAGGAGGATGGTTATGTTCGACAGTCTGATCAAGTACAACGAGCGAAGTTGAGCAACTCCTTTATGAATCCACGTGTTGCAGTAAGGAAACGTTCATTTCATAAAGTTCAAATAGATCTCTTTTTAGCTGTGCTTCAATATTAGATATTTAGAGTTGCGAAGAGCATTATTCAATGAAAAGCTGCGTTCCAGGGCAATGGGTTGGTGGCATCGCACCAAAAGGGTCAGGGTTGCAAGTAAGCTAAACTCTAAAGTTGTGAGATAAAATTGGCTAGAAATTTTTTCCTGATGAATAAGCTATTTTAATCTCACATTACTTCACAACTTCTTTAACGTTAAGTATTACATTGTGTGAAGAGAACTTTCTAGCTTCGATGCTGCTGGTATGCACCACTTCTTAATTCAGAAGATCGAGGAATAGCGATGGTGACCAACGTAAGAGACTTATGAATGCGGCAAATACTTGATTAGAATCGTCAAAGACCAGTGGAGACTATTCAGGGGCAATTAGTAGTCGGTGGAGAGGTGATGAATGACGATGATGTGGACGGCTTTGATTATATAGCCGACATCAAAGTGGCGGAAATTCATAAGGCAAAGTGCGTGCTGTAGTGTTGATTTTTTCTCTCACATGCTCTTTTTTACAAATAAATACTTTACGCTTAAGTACGGTATATGCGGTGTCGATTCGACGAATGAGATGCACTGATGAGGAAAGTGTAAAAGGTAAGTCTTCACAGCTTGAGTCCTAGTGATTGCAGGAAACGGATTAATAACGGCTTTGTTCTGCGACAATAATATTTTGATTTCTTGATTTCTCTTTCAAATAGTACAGCTTATTTGAAAGACTAGGATTTAGACTCTTGAAAAATCATCTGAACACAAACTGCATTTTGATGGCCTTGTAAATAACACATATTCAGATGAAAATCTCACGTTGACTTCACATCCTCTAATACTCGTTTAGAGTCACAAATCTCACAAAATGCAGTTGTTCTTAGTCGCGATGGTAATTCGCAAGCTACAATGGAGGTGAACTATTTTCCACTCTTTCTCTGTTTTTTTCTAAGAGGCTTTTCGCTTTTTTGATGCAGTATGTTTTGTAAATAACCAGTGAATTGCTTAACGTTAAGCGAAGAATTAAAGTTCAAAAGCCTTTGCCAAAAAGTCAGCGGATATCCGGCACCATCTACGCCACTCCTCAACCACAAGTTAGTTGTGATCACTTTCAATATACCAAATCGTATTTGGTTTAGTGATTATACAGCATTCACCAATTAGTAAAAGGCGTTCTGAACCTTTCAACCACTGCGATAAAGATGTATGTATGCTCCACTGCTATCTTGGTCTAGCACCTCCGGAGTCAACCAAAAGGTTGACTCCGGAGGTGCTAGACCAAGATAGCAGTGGTGCATACATACATCTTTATCGCAAATAGCTTCTTTGCTTGTCACTCAGAGAGATTATGACACCATGCGGCCTACCACGTGAAAAAAGTTCAGTATAAACGACTCAGTCCTCGCTGGAACCTCGTTTTTACATTAACTTATCTGTGAACTCTTTTTATAGTTCGCGGCAACATAAATGCGTCAGTTTCCAGAAAACACAAACCCGAATGCGAACGGTTCAGTCTGGATATGGAGCATCAGTAGCAGCAGCTCCTATTCAAATTCCACCTAATGCCGGTATAAATTAAGAAAATAGCTGCATTGATTTTTATCAAACTGGTAGCATATGAAAGATTTTAGCTGCTCCTGGCTATCCTCAGACTCAAACCGTATTCACTTCACCACATAACCTTCAGAAGATCACCCAAACTTCATATTACTTGACCAATCAACCATCAAACACCGTTCAAGCACCTATTGATACGCAGTTTGCTCAACAGAATTACGTTCCCTTTTCTCATGTGGCTCAACCTCAGCCTCAACCTTTTGGTGGGCTTTTCAACAGTGCTCTTAACCCAGTTATGACACCATTTCAACCACAGCTAGTTGCAGTTCCTGCTCAGCCTCAAAGTGAAGGTGAATTTAATCCCTATGAATCAGTCAAGTATCTTTAACATTGTTTTCATATTTCAGTTCCTTTCATTATGTCAACAACACCGGTGTCGACATTTCCACCGTTAACGTTCCCATCTTTGGACAAAATTTCGAGGATCGACATACCCTCAGTAGAAGACGTAGAAAATGTCATCCCTCCAGTTCAAAAGGCGATACTAACAACAGTGGCGAAGTTCTTTGGTGTGCTGTAGATGTGGCATCACAGCGATAAATGTCGAGGAAGAGTCTTTATTACAACCAATAAAGGTAACATCGAAATAAGTACAGAACACTACCGACTAGCGGACATGTGTAATGCCTGTGAAGATAAGTACAGTAATCTACCCGCTTGCCAATTGAAATACGAAGACATTTTCAAACAACCATAATAACGCAGTGTTAACCAGCAGGTTATTAACTTTAGCTTATAGTTCCGAAAAGATTAGAGAGAACTTTCAACTGCTCAAAAACGTCCGCACGCAAAGTATGCAGCATACTATAGCATGAACATAGGGTAATGCATTAGTTAAGAAAATGATAAGTTCACAACCATGAATGCCATTTCAACTAGAGACCATGGTAAGCTCTGTGTCATTATTAAAAAGTCTGTACCTCAGTACACTATTTGGAGCGAAGGTTTAGGAAAGTATGAGGTACAGGGGAAGCAATTCGGCAATGAATATCAAAGGAATCCATAAAACAACAGAGCCCCACAAGATCCTAAACTACAATAGTGGGCAGAAACGATAGAATGATGGAAGATAAGGACATATTTTAAGTGTTTTAATTACGTTGACCAACAGCACTTTGCGTAAAAGGTACACGTAGGAGATAGGATATTAATAACGAACGAAATTTGCCATAGGGTAATGGTCAGACCAACCTCTCACTTCAGCCATTCAAAAAGGGGTTTTCCCAGGCTTTTTCATGGATTGAATAGCTTTTTGGATTGAATTCGCTAGAACGTCAAGGTCTTCACAAATGCGTCGACGGGTCATGGCTGGCAAAATGATGTCATCTACAAAACCTGAGCTAAAAGTTGGAAAATAGCTCAGAAAGTTGGTATCTCCGCAGTATTTTGGAGGGGTACACTGCAATACAACCTCGCCAAGGAGAGCGGCCGGTAACGGATTTCCGAAGAGGTTGTTATATCCTTCTTCACGCTTCGTTGAATCAGTTGATCCACGAAAAAAGGATAGAAACGGCTCCTTAAACTGGTAAAAAAAATAAAGTTGAATATAACCAGGACGATGATTACCACGAACACCTTAGCTCTCATAACAGCAACCTCAGCCGTTGGGCAGGCACAGCTAACATCACCACGGCCATGCTTCGTCGACATCTGTATGCTCCACCGTAGGCCTCAAATGCAAATATTTAGTGAAAAAATGGAAAGCCTCCAAGTTTCAATCTCAGAAATCACCTTTCTGGTAATGACAGTGATTTTCGGCACAGCTGCTTTAGCATACGCGTGCAAAAGCTTAGCACCGTGACGGATGATATCACCATACTCTTGTGCAGTACCTGAAAAACAACTTACGCAAGGCCTAACAAAGTGAATAACCTATTCCGAAAAGAGAACTTCTGCATTGAAAGCGAATTCTGACCAGGAAGAAAGGCGGGCATGTCAACAAGTGTAATGAGTGGAATATTGAACGCATCACAGAACCGCAAAAAAAAACAAGCTCCTTTGATTGACGAATAAGACATCCTGAACATACCAAAAATTAGTTTAGGTTGCTTTATTTCCAGGAAAAATAAACATACCTGCAGCAAATTTCGGATTGTTTCCAACTATACCAACGCTACAACCATTCATACGAGCAAATCCGACAATGATGTCCTGAACTTTACAAATACTTGTTAAACGATGTATTAAACCATTAGCGAAGCTCAATAATAGCTAACCTTAACATAGTCCAGGAAGATCTCAAAAAAATCGCCCTCGTCAACCAAAGCGATTACTACGTCCTTCATATTGTAGGCCTCAGTGCTTTCCGGTGGAATTATTGTCTCCGACGATGAAACCAGACGATCCCTAAATATTCTGACTATGACATCAGAAGACTAAGTGACACATTTTTCTCACAATGGGTCATCGCATGCACGGACGGGTGGAGGATCCTTGTTCGAAAGTGGTAGGTAGTCCACTAATCCACGCACGCTCATCAGAGCGTCGACGTCATTCTGGAAAGCACCAACAGCAGCTCCTTCAAAACTCCTCACAATGCAAAAATAATCAGGCATTTTACTAAATGGTGAGACTAACCAGATGTAACAGTATGTGTCTTCGCTCCTCCGAGTTCCTCCTTGGTTACTTCCTCGTTAGTGACGGCTTTGATAGCATCAGGACGGGTGATAAATAAACAACTCGTGTCTCGAGCAGAACGTAAACAACAACCGAACTTGGATCAAATATACATCAAGTACAAGACTCAGATTCAACCCTGCAAGTAATTTTTTAAAAATACCATAGAAGTGAAGTCAGTGATTGCTGGCGAATAAACGGCGCTACCTGCACATGGACCCATGATTAGGGAGATTTGCGGGATAACTCCAGAAGCCATAACGTTAATCTAAACAGAACACGATGATACGAAACTTCAATATGACAAACTCACTAACCTCACCTGAAAAATGTCCGCATATCCAACGAGTGACTCAAACTCCTTGTATACGCGCTCTTCCTGAATCATTAAGGCCAATGATGGGAGCTCCAACAAGCATGGCTTCCTAGACGGCACAATTCCCGCCTGTAGATAAGTATTCTCCAGTGGGGAGAGTAGGACCTTGACCTTAATAATTTTAGTGATCTTCTTGGCATGAATAGGTGACAGTGAACTCCAAAAACAGTGAAGTCCTGCGAGAAGACATACACGTAGCGGCCATTGATTTCACCGCGACCGGTAACCATTAAGTCACAAGGGAGCTAAAAGTAAGAAATTTAGAAGATTACAAAAATATACCAAGAATATATGCAGTGTATATGTATATATATACATATATTGTCGTAGACCATTGTATACACGTGCACCGATAAAGCAAAAATTTACCTTAGACTTCTGCATACCAAAATCAAGCACGATTGTTCAGCAAACATATCATACTCTCGAAACGTTCCTTTGTCCATTAGTAACGCAATCCGTTCTCGAGCTGTCAGCTTCCTCTGGAGAAATTTACAATCCTGTCCTTGCCTTGACGTAACCATTCGTTTAAACGTTCGAGACTTACACGATCGTGTTGTGCGTCGATCCTTTTCTTACCACGTCCTAGTAATGCTTTCATTCATGCCTTTTCAATTCGTTCCATTATTTTAGAGGCGCATCCAATACTGTTCGACATGACCATGATCTAAATTTACTAACACATTATCAAAATTGCTTTCTTAAAATTGTCTGGGCTGTTATCGCACGTGAATGTTTTAATAGCTTTGATTAAGCTCTTTGAAGTAAATTAACTTAGAATTGCGTTTAGAAGTTTTCGTTATTTATGGGAACGTGTTTGCGACTGCAAATACTTTCGAAAGAAATGGTAGGTAGTTGCTTGAGCACCCTATATCGGAGTACCACGCTCAACACCAACCATGTTAAAAGTGGAGCAGAAAATTAACACGATTTAAATAACAACTAATTTTCACACAGCTCATGAGTAAAGGAAAGTCCTATTTACTCCAGCAGAGGGCCAAACAACCTCAGAAGGGAGAATTTTAGGCCACATTTGGCTGCGGCTACAGTAGTGAAGTGAGCGAAGGCAACCGCTTCAGGACGCCCTGGTGGCGCTCATTCGTTGCCGCATTGTTCTTGTTCATGTTATTTCTTGTTTTTATTAAATTTTTCGATGAATATTTGTCATTAGCTGTATCGTTGTTAGCTACTATAATTCTATAATCAATAGGACAAGAAAATGTGTAGTTCTTCGTATCTCTAGTAGCAAACAGTGAGCCGAGCAACCTAGGTATTTAGGATTGATGGTGACATTTGTGCCGTCTCGTCGAAATCGTTTTATAATCAGTGAAAAGACAGATGACACAGATGATTTTTGCGTATTTCGTTCTATAATATGAATAACAAGACGCTGAACTCCGGAGTATTGTTGTTCAAGTTTGGTAAGTTTAACTTATACTTATTCAGAATAGATTTTGTTATGTTTTCGTCTTAAGTTCTTGTATTGAGTTTACAGATCCCAACAGTTTACCGCCTGATCGAGGCTGGGAAGTGTTCCAATATGTCGGGCTGCGATATACAGTGGGGATCTATCTCTCCGGCAAGATCTCCCAAGCTGAGAACGAATCCGACGTTTCTATCAGGAAGCCCAGCAAAGAGTAAACTAATGCTAGGAACCACCATCGTCCTGGTACCAAACTAGTCCCATGGTGGCAAATCTCCCTCTGATCCACAAGGGCGGCGACTGTCTGTGATGGTGACGACTTGGGGCAGACTTCGGCTAGCTGACCTCGGGACGCCAGAGAAACACAATGATTAAGCCGGCAAAACTCCGAAAACTGGTGAATATGCTGGAGCCCACACCACCAATGAGGATGGCCCGTCCAAATATCCAGGTAATGAGTTTCGCCGTGCAACGAATAAACTGACGAGCATGAGCGGTCCCTTTTATATAAAAAATTAATTACGCGTCCGTATTTAAAATAGCTTTGGCTATTATATGGTCGTTTTCATTCTCTATGGTTTGAAATTACCTTTATACTCTTAACATCACTTATGTTTGTAGACGCAGTGATAAGCAACGATGATCAGCTCAGTGTTGTTATGTAAGCTCAATTTCGTTCGTACTGCTAAGTTATTGCAGTAGTTGTGTTTTTTTCATTCAAAAGCTAAGCGAGGCTGTTAAAAATTTTTCTTCTGTTGAACGTCACTATGCTACCATCGCCTCAGCCGTAATGATTCGAGTCTTATCCATAGCACAAATGAAGCTGCCTCAGGCAGTAATGCTCTTTTGTACAGCGAAGGTGTATGAACAATTCCCATTCAAAACTAACTGCTGCTATGGTGACAATTCACCCTGCTGCAACTCCCACGACCGACTTTCTATTAACCTCGGCATTGATCAAGTAATTCTTCGTATTTTTGTTGAGCAAACGCGAGGTGTTATTATTCTTTATTCACGAATAAGCTGACGTTTCGGCGGATTTCGCCTTCCTCAGAGCCTGGAAAGGTCAAGTTGATAGCAATCTACTCGGCCAGACGCCTCCATAACCAAACAAACTCTAAACCCTGCTGCACTCAGATTTCAAGTGGTGCGCAGAAAAGTATTACTCTGAAAGCCGACTAGAAAACAGCCGTTATGGAAGTATGGTAGAGATCCCAAAACGATCACCGCACATAATGATGATTGCTTAGAACTAGATGATTATTGAATTGTAATGACCATTACATTGTAATCAACCATAAAAACGTGAATTTCTAGAGCAAGCCGTTTGGTAGTTACAAGTGACCATTGTACTAGGGAAGACCTCTATACGATATCTTAAAGTCTTTAAACACATTTAGTTTGTTATGTTTCGCATTTACTGTTTCTAGAGTCTCGATGCTTCGCTTCGCGACATTGCATTTGGATGCACACACGCCCATTGACGAACATTTGGAGCAGTATGGATTAACATTCGAAACATGTTGTGAGTTCCACTGATATCAGCGTACATTTCCCACTACCCACCTATCTGCTTTCACCGTCGACCATCTTCTAGACATCTTGTTCTACACAGCATAATCTATCAGTTCGCTCACTATGCTATCTATGAATTTTGTCACCATACTCAAGGTGTGTTGAAAACTTAACACACAGTCGACTGCTGGGACCAGATACGGCTTAAATGTTGGTGACTTGTGTTATATGTGGTTTACATATGTGCACAAAGTTAAGACGGTATTCCTCATTCACTGTACGGAACATCGTATAATGTGAGATGTGTAATAAGGCGAGATGACGAATGCATTGTATTTAAATGAAAGCTGTGATGCACTGTTAATTCATATTCCAAATAATACTTTATAGAAAAATTGATACAACACCAACAGGGGTAGAGCACCTTTCACCGAATCGTAATATTGCATACAATCGTAGACTTGACTAGGGAACATCTGTTCGCTTGATGAAATAACCTTGTACCATGAATTGTAGTTTAAATTAATTATAACGGCTCTATGAGATTTAGCTGTCTGTTCTGATGCACATATCCAAGCGTGAAAGGGAAGGAGTTCGACTGCACCTTTTTATATTGGCTAGCTTTTCCTAAGGAGGAACAATCGCGACTTTTTCGAGCAATGTGAAGAGAAAGCAGGACGGAATACATTCAGACTAAGTAGCCTGTGCTAAATTAAAATGTTCGTCTAAGACATTTTACAAGATGTGTACGACCAAACAGTTGAGAGTGCTTTGTGAACTAGAGCAAGAAAAAAGCACATTTAAGCGAAATCTCTAACTAAGGAAGTTGTACTCGTAGTGCTCTCGCTATCGATAGTGGTTGCATGCCAAAGTAAAGCAGCATCGAATGAAGCGTACAAAAATGCCGTCTTCATCGTCAATATCATTATATTGCCCCTTAAAAGATGCTCAATTTGACTCTTGCCAGATGATTTTTAATCTATAAAGGATACTCAGCTTAAGGCTGGAATGAACGAACAAAGCCGTCATAGAACAACAGTGTCCAACCGTGTTGACTTACTAGCACTCCATTCTATTGTGAATTTAACTCACCTTCACTCATGCTGTACGGATGGTGGTTCTAGTAAGGCAAACATATAGAGAAAACCTGAGCTATAAGCACTAGGTCCCAACATCCGATACTGAAAAGGATTAAAGAGGAATGTTTCCATGCTTCTTCCACGGATTTGACAACTTTTTGCTCTCAAGCACGCTGAGATCTTCGCAGACTCGACGGCGGGTGGTACACGGCGGAATTATGTCATCAACAAAACCTGAAAGTCGGCCATGAATCAGAAAGCCGCTATTTGAAGATGTATTCTGGAATAGGACTAAAACCGAGATTAAAAAAAAAATTGTGAAATTTACCGCGAACGGCAGCTGGAAATGGATTACTGAAAAGGTCGATGTACTCTTCCTCATGCTTCGCTACATCTCTCGACCCACGGAACAATATGGAGACAGCTCCCTGTATTTATCATGAACTTGGAACATACACAATTGGAAAGGTGATTATTATGAATATCGTTACCTTAGCTCCCATAACAGCAACTTCAGCTGTTGGCCATGCATAATTAATATCGCCGCGAAGATGTTTCGACGACATCACATCGTACGCTCCACCATAAGCCTTAAAAGTAGTTACATAGCGAAAAGGAAATGTTGCTACTTCCCCATCTGGGCAATCACCTTTCTCGTAATGACAGTAATTTTTGGTACAGTTGCTTCAGCATACGCATACAAAAGTTTGGCGCCATGACGGATGATACCACCATATTCTTGTGCAGTTCCTAAAAAACAACTTATGCTAGGCCTGGAAAAATGGAAGGTCTTCTAGGACTGACCAGGAAGAAAACCGGGGACATCAACAAGTGTAATGAGTGGAATATTGAAAGCATCACAGAAACGCACAAAACGAGCTCCTTTAACTGACGAATTGATGTCAAGGCATCCTGGAAATACCAAGGATTAGTTTAAACTGCGTTCATTTCCTCAGAGTAATATACAAACCTGCAGCAAATTTAGGGTTGTTTCCAACTATACCAACAGTACGACCATTCATACGAGCAAATCCGACAACAATGTTCTGAAATCTGAAAACGTTTCTGACATACCAGACTGATATGTGAGCTAACCTTAGCATAATCGGGCATGATCTCGAAGAAATCACCCTCATCAATCAAGGCAACAACAACATCCTTCATATTGTAAGCGGCAGTACTTTCTAACGGCACCACGGTATCCAACGATGGAACAAGACGATCCCTCAATTTCGCATTTACGACATGAGGAGAGTAAGTCACAAAATTTTCTCACCATGGGTCATCGCAAGCCCTGATGGGTGACGGATCTTTGTTTGAGAGCGGTAGGTAGTTCATCAACTCGCGCATGCTCATTAAAGCGTCCACATCATTTCCGAAAGCGCCAACAGCAACACCTAAGGAACTTCTTATTCGTGACTAAGGTACAGCTTCGTAGATGAAAAACCTGACCGGATGTAACAGTGTGTGTCTTCGCTCCTCCGAGTTCCTCTTGGGTTACTTCTTCGTTAGTGACGGCCTTGACAACATCAGGACCGGTGATAAATAAATAGCTCGTATCTCGGACCTAACGTAGATAGCAATCAAAACTGCATAAAATACACATCAGTTACATGACTCCGATTTAGTCTTGTAAATAATATTTTAAAAGAACCATAAAAGTGAAGTCGGTGATTGCTGGTGAGTAAACGGCGCCACCTGCACATGGACCCATGATCAGGGAGATTTGAGGAATAACTCCAGAAGCCATAACGTTAGCCTAAAACAGGACATGATGGTACAGAACTCGAATTTGACAAACGCACTAACCGTACCTGAAAAATGTCAGCATATCCAGCGAGTGACTCAACTCCTTCTTGTATACGTGCTCCTCCCGAATCATTAAGGCCGATGACGGGAGCTCCCACAAGCATTGCTTCCTAGACGGCGTATTTCTATTTACATCCATCTATCCTCGATTTTGATGAACAGAATTCTGACCTTCATAATTTTGGTAATCTTCTTGGCATGAATAGATGAGAGTGAACCACCAAAAACGGTAAAGTCCTGTGAGTAGACGTACATGTTGCGACCATTGATTTGACCGCGACCAGTGACTACCGAGTCACAAGGGAACTGAAGACGTGCGCCTTCACAACATTCAAAAGCGCAGATGCTGCTGGTATACGAACGCACACATACTCACATACCTTTTGTTTTTCCATTCCAAACTCGACACATGTATGTTCTGCGAACAAATCGTACTCTCGGAACGTTCCTCTATCCATAAGTAATTCAATCCGTTCACGAGCAGTCAACTTTCCCTAAATAACTATAATAAGAAGATGTTTATTTTCGACTAACGTTTCGACGTCTTCGTCTTCCTCAGAGCCGATGATCCGAGTCGATGGTCCTTGCTTGTTATTCGCTAATAATGGTCGCTATTATTATAAGCGAGGACCATCGACTCGGATCATCGGCTCTGAGGAAGACGAAGACGTTGAAACGTTAACCGAAAATAAACATCATTATCAACCTCGTGTAAGCTCATCAAAGAACGAATACATATTGATTAGTGATACCGAGGTTCAAGAAAAGTCGGTTTCGAAATATAATAAGAAGATTATCTACTTTAACAAGAAACCTCTCGCTTCAATAGAGACTCACTCGGGCGTGTTGTGTGTCGATCCTCTTCTGACCACCACCAAGTAATGCTTTCTCACGTGTGTTCTCAATTGTACTCGCAACTTTAAGAGTGTGTGCGACAGTACTCGTCATGCGAACGATCTAAAATTTGCAAAAAAAGTTCTTCCCTTCTCGTCTTGTTCTTTCTGGATCAAAAAATGTCGTCAGTCACCTTATGCAATTGATAAGCATGCCTGAGCAACTGGTAACCGAATGCTGGGACATCCATCGAATTTCCTGCAAATGGGTGAACTATCGAATTGTCATCACATTTTCTTTTGCAGATAACGCAGTGCTTCATTCAACAAAAGTCCAATTATTGGTAACCATTTGAACAACATCAACGTGCAACTGTAATTTCTTCTTAATGCGAATTTTGTAATAGGAAGTTGAAGGTGAACGGCAGAGACAAACAAACAAACATGACAACGAAAAACTGAAAACTAATGTCATGTCGAACTGTGATGGAGTACTCCCTATTTTGAAATCCGTTAAATGGAGCCACTAACATGAGCTGAAAGTCCAAACTGGTTATACGGGTTCAGAACGAGTTCTACACCATCTCACGTCACTCTAGCAACAAGTCCGAATTATGTCGGAAGGGAAAATTTCTTAATTCCAAAAACATTCTTCTCGTGTTAACCAGCTTCCACGTAGATGTTAAAAGAATAAAGGTTAAAGCTCTCGGCGTTGATTAGTTCTTGAAAGAAGCACCAAGCACTCGACTTCATAAAGCATCGCTTAAAGGTTATTGAATGCATGCATATCTGGCCTTTACAATGACTCGCAGTGACCTACTGATGTATTGAGCCAGTGCTGCTATCCTCCCAGACATGTCTGGAACCAATTTGCCGACCCCGAAGGGATGGAGGGCTTGATGGGCCTGAGGCGCGTGGATCGATCCCATGTGCATTGCATAGCGCCTTCGACCACTGCGCTAACCGCGACCTAAAATGTTACGTTTGCTACAGTAATTCACCGCATAAATTGATAACATAGATTGGTGGAGTACAGCAAAACTGAAAATGAAGAACTGTCAGAGTGGTCGTATTGGGAATCGAGATGAACCAAATATGAAACAATGATGTCCCACAGGATAGCAATTCTCCGCCTTCTACTCTTACTCTGATACACCAAAAATCTTTCGAAACACTGTAAGAAAAGAGTAATATCGAGTTCGATCCCCACCGCAAACTCTTGCGTTCCGGAGTTTTGCAAGTACCTTAGCGTCGTAGTGGTTGTATTTCACATATTACACTGCCGTGAAAAGTTGTGGTAGGGAGTAAATGGAAAGTTAACACTGTAAGCAGTGCCAAGCAATACACGAAGACAAAATCGAGAACAAGAAACAGAACCAATAATGTCGTCGTATAGCATTTTTGTTTTCTTCTTACCTTTATTCTGCTTTTTCCCTCTAAAATGAACAAACTAGGAATTATCATTTGATGAAAGAAGTCGGTTTTCGCAAAAACCAAACATGATCAAGGTCTTCCACGGGATTTCTTTAAAGCTAGTGAAAGTTCCTTCTCCTTAACTACTATGAAAACCTTGCAAACAAACTGCACAGTTATTGATCCACGCTTTTAAGCTGTAGCTGCTATTTTAGCTTAACTAACCGATGTGTATGCACGAGTTCACAAAGACATACACAAAATGCAGGTACACACATTGACGTATATATGGCTACACACAGATGCACACACACACACATATACGCACACACAGACACAATGTACACACTGACCTGTGCACAACTAAACACATACATATATCGACGTATGTACAACTACACAATACAGATACATATACAAATACATACATGTACATACAATGACCTATGGACGACCATATATATACACACACCGGCACCTACACACATAGATGCATGCACGAGTACACACATACAGATATACATATGCAACTCCCGCCATGATCTTAAAATTATCGTGAGCACACCTGTTGCTGAGGGAAACACTGTGAATATTTTGAAAACAAATTCCATGGCATAATATTATGCTTACACACTTAATAATAAGTATACGAAAATATTTGCTTCTATTTTTGGAAGTGATCGTTCGGTTTAAGACGAAACAATCAACGCGAATCGTCCGTCAGTTGTTAAGCTCTCTGTTCTTGTATATCCAATTACAGGTATCTCCATCCACATATGACGTCACATCGTTCCAAACTCTCACTACTCACACGAACCACTCTCGTGTAAGCGACTATGGTTCGGTTGCTATAGTATTGATTCGTTGCACACATGCTGGTAAGCCCATTCCGATCCAGCACCACCCAATCCGAGGGAAGAAAATCGATACAGCGGCTGTGTCAACATGTGGGTATAGTGATGGGATGGCAACGAAAACATACCGCCTCATCAACTCAACCACATAAATATGCTGTTAGTGTAATCACCATCATTGTAGTTTATGTATTTCGTTCGTCAGAATCCGCTTTACAAAGTACTATTTGTAGATCGCGGACGTATCTCACCCAATCGATTCCGTTGTTTTACTCGTAGTTAAGCATAACACAATGAAACCGCGTACATTAATAGTACTTGTATATGATTCTAGGAAGAAGAATGACATGTGAAAAAATCGGTGACCCGATCACTACCATTATCAACGAACCATGTGAGCACCATCAAGCTCTATTCACCAACAATCGAATCTGGTTATTCGGAAGAAAATGTGAGTATTTCTACCTTTTCTTTCTTTTCCTAATGATGACTGTGTGCGATGAACGGAGACGGAACGAAACGATTAGGGAGATGAATAATAGCGCCAAGAGATAAGAACAGAGGAAAAATGAAGTGAAGAGATGAAAGAAAGGCAGAATAAAATGGGACGATTTTCAGTTGTCAATCAGCCGTCACACAACTGGGGGCATAATGTCGCTCTAGCCGGAACGTATGGTGTCGCATTTAATATAACAGCAAAAAAATGGGAAACGCCACATCATGTGAGTTGTCTACGGCTAACAGCTGAACAAAAATCGATTTTAGAGTGTAAAACTCGGCAGAGTCCAAAAGACGACCATCAGCTGTCCTTTTTTCCCCGCTCCACACCCGCCCATAGTGCGAACGATTCTTGTCGATAAGAAAATTGATCTGAACTCATTCTAGTAGTCCAAAAAGGCCTGTGAACAAAAATCGTTAACTTATGATCTGGTGCCGTTTAAACACTTATTTACTGCCTATTCTTTTCTCATAGCAGGATGCTCTGTGAAGCAGAACCATAAAAAACACATGGGAACCCTGGATGGTTGGGTTATCGGTCGATAAGGAAATTGATCTAATCTCATTCTAGTAGTGAAAAAAGATGTATGCAAAAACCGTTCACATATGATCGGGTTCTGTTCTAACCTTTATTTACTGTCGATTCCTTTTACTTGGTAGAGTAGTATGTGAAACACCACTACAAGAAACACATGAGAACCCAGGAAGGGTGGGCGATATCGGGTTCGACTTGTAGTTGATTTTTTTTCTTTTTCTTCTATTACTATCAGCTGTTTAATATTCTTCGTTCATGTGGAAAAGAACGTTGAAGATAAGGACATAGAGTAAATGTGAAAATGTGTTTCGTTGCAATGACATTCATTGAAATGGTGAAACCACTTTCTAAATCAATCAATCCTTGTACTGTGTACTGTTTTTCTTTTCCTTGGCGCAGTGGTCGGAAGTGCCCTCACACGTGGAATCGTTCCCCGCTTCCTTGGCCCACCAAGCCTTCCATACTTTCGGGGTCGGCAAATTGGTACCAGACCTGTCTGAGAGGATAGCAGCACTGTCTCGATACATCGGTGGGCCACCGCGAGTCATTGTAAAGGCCAGATATGCATTCGGTCTCCTACAAATGATTCTTAATGAAGTCGAATGCATGGTGCCTCTCTCAAGGATCGATTAGCTCCGAGAGCTTTATGCTTTATCCTTTATCCTTACTGCAGTTTCCGTGCTTATGGGAATCTTTCTTATCCTTTACGAGTGAACGAACTGGTTTCTTCCATATTAATGTTAATCTCACAAGAAGCAGCGATTTTGTAAGTTTATTTGAAGTCTTTGGTGTGCGTTTATGTGTTTTCAGATAGCATTGGTATCCGATGCAGAAGGGTTTGACATCGCTTAAGTCGTTGTTTTTGTAGTTTTTGTTTTCATGTAAATATTCTGTACGTGTTTTTTCTTTTCAGTTCTCAGCTTTGTCATCTGAAGAGAACGTAAGCGAGGCATTGTTCATCTTTAGTGGTGCAATTCATATTCTGCTTTTTTCTGCTTTTGGAGAACTTGCGGTAAAATCACTGCACAAGTGGACTGGTACATCGTGGGAACCAGTTCATGTTCAAGTATGTTTGACAGGAACCTTCTTTTAGCCTTCAATCTTCTCACTTAGCTTGTATTGTGTGACATTTTCAGAGCTTTCCTCCAGTATGTGGTGATAGTCTTTCGGACCATGTGTCGCTGATTGTGGCTGATGGGAAGGATGAAAAGACTAAGTACTTTGTAAGTACGGTCGGTCACACTATGAGAGTGTCTCGCATGAAATCTTCGAGTGATGGGGTTGTTGTTGAACATTTTATGGATATTCCAAGAAACGTCATGACTTCGGTGAGCGCCTTTTCTCATCATTAGATGAGCATAGTTTAACACATGAATCGTAATTTAACAAGTTCTCCCTGCAATTCCAGCCCAGTGGACAAGCTGTATCAGCTGTTGAGACAGATGGACGGCTGCTATTTTTTTATGGAGTGCACGGATGTGGGTTCCGATGGGATAATAGCCGATTAGTAGCGTGTGATCTGAACAAAAAGACGTGTGAGTCTGTCCAGGTGAGTCATCTCGGGAGTTGTACCTACCATTCTTTTTCTATTCGCATTTTAGGTTTCTGGTGATGCGGCTCCAAAATGGGGTTTCCTGGGTGCGCATGCTCATGGCCTTAAGCATGCAGGAACGTGGATTCATGCAGTAGGAGCTGTTCGCTCTGGTACGCGTCATGCTTTTTTTTAATTTTCAGAGCTTGATTTTCCCTTGTAGTTTATATTTTGAAGGTTAGTATTTTAAACAATTCTCTACCTTTTTAGGAATGACCTCCAGTCAGTATGACGGTAGTATATGGGCTCTGCAAAATCTGACTGCGAGCCCTTCTTGGGAGCGTTTTCGAGGGGAGGTACCTGCCAGCATGGGTACTGACGTCGCCGTCGACGACAAGGATGGAATCGTTTACGGTGTTGGAAAAGAAGGCGTTGGAAGAGTCAATATCTAATTGGTTTTCTGGGGAATTGGTACCATTATGATTCATTTATATTTTGAACTTTAGTAACACCATTTGTTCTATCTATGCTCTCATTTTGCATTGACATGAGTGTTACGCGTTCACTTTAACATGTACATGTGCCTAATAATAGTTGTAGTAGTTTTTTTTGGGTTTCTTGGTTGTTACCTTTAATAAGTAAACGGTGGTATGTTAAGGTTTGGCGATGACACACATCCACATCCACATGAACACATGCGTGTTCACACACGCATTCACATACACACACACACCCATGCACATACACACACACACCCATGCACATACACATATACAAATATATACACGTCCATACACAACACCTGGTCATTCCCGAAGATTTATATCACATTCGGGACCTCGATTTATCACACTTCATTCCTTTCAAAATATCAGTTGGAATAAACCCTATATGGGGTAAAACAGTAAGAGCGATTAATGTGTATTTCTTGTATGTAACTTTTATTATGCCAAGACCTATAATGAAATGGAACTCTTTTCGCTCTCTATTATGTTTACGGCAAGAGTTGTATTCCATGGTGTAACTTCGGTATAATCTTGGACCAGTTATATGGCGTTACCTACACATATAGGTTAGAAGAAGGGGGATCAAATGGACGTAGTTCAATGTTTACGTATGAATATTCACCGATAAGGACGTCTCTCATCATTTTGCACAAGTGGCGTAGGGACATCGTCTTAGATGTGGCCAAGCTTACAATTAGTGATTAACAAACGGTTTTCAAGGAAAACAGAATGATGAGAATCTTCCTAAAACAGAATCTTCCTAAAACAGAATATATTTATGGCAGCACATAATGCAGTGGAAGTGATCTAGGCCATTTCACGCACGGCACGTCCTGCACAGACTCTGATTTGACCCCTCATTGGTGTACAAACCCTCTCATGCGTTCGTAGTCGGGACATTGGTACCGTACTTGTCGAGGACAAGCTTGCTCCTAATCGACGTGGGAATACCCCAGCACTTATCTTAGAGCTCCAGTGAAAAGCTGCTCGAGCAGCACACAACGACATTTGTAACAAAGATAAGAAATCCTAAAGTGGCAACAGAACCCACGCGCAAAAAAGTTCGAGTATGTTTGTGGATGGTGGATGCGAGAAAGCCAATGGAAAGCGAGAAGTGCTGAGATCCGCACAGTATGATACATTTTAGTCGAGTTATATAATAAGTGCAGGAAAATAAAAACTGTGTATTCGTAGGCCTGCTACATTGGTCCTCGATTGCCCGGTTGCCTAGTAATAGAAATCTGTCTACAGCTCTAAAAGAATCCTTGTCACCACACGGCAAACCTTCCTCCGACCCACGACGATTGCCCAATATATACGGTTTAAAGTAAGACCATTGTGGTACTGGTATTTCAAGTATCGGATGAAAGTTCGTTTAAGCAGTATTCAACGTGTTAATGAGGTAAGAAGACGAATTCTGAACTCATGGCCGAAAGTACATTCGAAACTCGTCACTTTCATGGATGACCGGTGCGAGATGATGAAAATAGAGTAAGGTATGCTGGTACCTATACCGTCTATCCAAGTATGTAGGAGTTTGAACGTGTACTCACTACTTTACAAATTGCGTGTGGAGAGTAAATTGCATCTATGATTCTTCAAGTAAATACCTCTCCATGGTAAATACAAGGATCGAAACAATGATGATTTCGACGGAAACAGTAGCGATAGTTTTAAATCCGAGTTTGCACAATGAATGCTATCCATAATTCATTGTTTATGTGAATAGAGTATCTTCTCTATACTTGCTTATATAGATTGTATTCATGACAGTACACCTGCACAAATAATGAGGTAGCAGCACATTAAGCTAACTGTTGTTGAATGAATATGCGAATTCCAAACACTAAAACTTTTAATAAACATCGACGCTGATTATCACGTGGTTGTTTCCTTATGGATCCTCTTGTTAAACAAATGTGAGAGGTTTCTCGTCCAATATGGACTCTATAAACGATTTTGAATAAGGGCCTGGACTCTAGCGAAGCATTAGTCATTGTGGATTGTTGAATTAACAATGTTTACTTCATCACATAAAGTTCAGTCCAACAGTTTGGAAGCAACTGCAAGTGTTGCACAAATTTTATGAAACCTCTTCGTTGATTTAGAGCTAACAATTATTCACTTAATCGCCTCTGTATTGACTTCGCCGAAAAAAAATCATCTAGTAGGCAGTGCTTCCCGGTAAACTTCGCTCTTCGTACACATTGAAAGCCTCTGATCAGTTGAAAAATCGAAAACAAAGAGCATATGCTGTGTCTGCAATAAAGCTGAAAACGTGTGATAAACAGCTTCGTCAAACGATGAACACTCTGCTGTTGTCGATAGAATTACTCAAAGGCTGACTGTGTCTCCTATACTTGAACTAGCTTACAGTGTATATACGAATAAAAGGATGAGATAAAGCTCTCGACTTTGATCAATCCCTTTGCGGATGTGCTATGCATTCGACTACATTGAGCATCGTTTGAAGGTGATTGAACGCATATCTGGTCTTTACAACGACTTACCGTGGGTTACCAAGGTATTGAGCCAGTGGCCAGTGCAGCTATCCTCCCAGACAAGTCTCATACCGATTTATGGACCCCGGAAGGATGGAAGGCTTAGTGGGCGCGAGGATCGAATCCACGAGTGTGGCAGAGCGCCTCCGACCACTGCGCCACACGCTCCCTAATATACGAGTAGCCAACAACTTCCAACGAACTCATGTATTTGTTTGTAGTTAATCTGATGTCAGGATTGTGTTTATCATGATGAAATGTATAAGCGAATTAAAATATTGTATTTACAACACAGTATTTATCAGAGAGCAGAATTTATCAACAACCATTAACACATGGAATTCCTCTATTTATTACAAAAAAACTTAATGAGCAAATGGCGACATGCGTTGCTGAACGAATCAAAGGAGTTCAAGGTGAGATCAACTGGATTAAAGGTGTTGAATTCTTCGCTTTGTTATTTTAAATTATGGTTTAAAGATTGCATTCTCTGATGTAGAAGTAGATGAAGAACGGCGTTCTTCATACCCGTGCATATTGAGAACTGATTTTCGACGAGGTCCGTGCCTAAACAAAAAATTCAAAAAAAGCACCATCTGATTAGTCAAAATTACCTAAGTGGAGTTTTTGTTCGTAATTTCCTTTTACTAAGAACACAAAGAAACAATGAATAACTTCAGGAATTAATAAACTTAGACAGTGACTTATTAAATTCGACGTTTTTTTTAATCATATTTGATCCGTCTTCACGACTACGTCGCGGTTCCCTGCACTTCTCATATCCAATTCGTTTCCTCGCGTACATCGTCCACGAGGGTCTTCCAAGTCTTTACATGCGGCTTCGGTAGCTGCTTGAGGAATTTCATTTCATCTCGAATGTCGTAGAGTGCTAGTCGAGCAATTCTCCCTAGAGTCCTGAGATAGCCGGGCCTGTGCGTTCCCAATTGGGTTGCAGACAGTGATTTTTTTCCCAGACAAGTTTGGTACCAATCTCCTGACCCCCGAGGGATCAGAGGCTTAGTCGAATCAAACCAGCACCATGCTCGCGATGACGGACATCACTACCACTCTACTATCCGCCCCTATTAATTTCGACATATGTTTTGGAATTTCTGTTCCGTTTCATGACCACTCTGTTGAAACGTACTTTCTACATAAATATTTCTTGAACTAAAGAGAACTTGATTTATAGAAAATTTGTGGACATTGGACAATTACCGATGAAAAAGAGAACGACATATCTCACTAAGTAAACTATCTGTTCTCCACAAACTCTATTTACTGATAAACTGATAGAAATACCGCTAAGTCCATTTACCGATAAATGTCGCAGGGAGCAAAGCATTGAAAAAATAAACAGACGTTGTGATTTCTGACGAAACAAAGTGAAACTCACAATGTATTGCTTTTTATTTATTGCCTTTTACATTTTCACGCCAGGGTATTAAGTAACATTCAACCACAATGATTCTAAAATATTTGCGAAAGTGACTGAGAGAAAGGCAAAGCAAAGGTCACAGTGGTGAGGTGGAAAACAGGTACGCCTCCGGAAAGAGTAACAGTCAGTTCGAATTTGGCCTGAGGTGTGAGTCTTGCAAATATCTTAGCATAATCGTGGTTGAGTTTCACAAAATGAAACTATTGAAATTGCTCGCCTTCTATCTGATAGCTTTTCTAACCTATCCCATTCTTCACGATACGTTTCGAACAGTTTTTGTGGATCTCGTCCATACATTTCTTTCTTTTCTTTAAACTTCTTGGGCACTGAAAACGTTCGAATAAATGCTCAGCAGAGAATTTCTATGGATATTGCTTTCTTCAGAAATATTACCTTTTTCCTCTGGACTCGCGGATAGGTTATGTGAACGTGAGTTGTTTGATGATGGAATATCAATGTCAGAAAGGAATAACGGTACTACACGAATAGGTTCCACTAACTAAAAGAAAGCTTCGTTTATATAAAAAATCGTTCATAGTTTACAATTTAAACGAGTGAGAACAATGACTGTGAGAAGGCGAGATGGGTGTCGTAGCACCATTATACGTAGGTAATCGATGCCTACATAATAGACGCGGCAAAGTCTTTGATACTTTTCTAGTCTTATTTCTTCGAATTTTGTTAGAAGCAATTAATAATGGTTTTTTATGAAGCAACCCTCTGTTTGCCATCTCATTGCAGCTGGAACGTGTTCCTAGGTGCGGGGCTGTGATGTAAAGCGGATCGATTCATTCCCACGGGAGGGTCTCCTAAACTCGGAAGGAGTGCGGTGTTTCCACCAGGAAGCCCAGCTAAGAGTAAACCGATACCAGGATCCACCACCGTCCTGGTATCAAACTAGCCGCATTGTGGCAGATCTCCCTCTGATCCACAAGGGCGGCAACCATCTGTGATGGTGAAGACGTGGGGCACACTTTGCCCAGGCTGACCCCGGGACTCCAGGGAAA